GCACATCATAGATGTGAATTTGAAGTGCTACTTACAGAATCCAGTTGATATAGTTTCTAACAGTACACCATATTTAAATATGCTATTTAATTTTCCTGAAAAAGCAACAAGTTATGTCATAGATGATTATTATCAAACATGTTTTGTCTTGCATGCAGCATTACTATTTCACTTGGCAGTCCCATGTATTGAAGATTAAGATGCCTTTTTCAATCAGAGTCTCCTTTTCTTTTCTATCAGGAATGCTTCTCATCCTATTATGAATACCATTTTCATGATTGTAACGCTAATCTAGGAAACCTTTGTTTAAAAAATAGGGCTGGTTTGAAAACACTAATATGAATCAGACAATAACATGGCTTGCTAGAAGAACTCTCATTCTGTGGTTGATTTTAAATGCTCATAAATAAAGACTCTGTCGCCTAGTCCTGCAAGCCCTTCTATTTCATTCAGTGAACATTATAGCGTCTGTTTGACTACACAGCGATGTTGGCAGCAGTAGTGCTTGAGTGCACCTTTCCCAGTACTCAACGCTTGGATGGTTCTTGACCGTTCACAGAGCTGCCTGCAGTCCCTTAATTAGAAACAGATGTCCTAAATGAAAAGGATGATTAGAGCAATGTTAATGGTTCAACTGCTAATCGGAAATTTCTGGCTGTATTTTAAAGTTCAGTAGGATTTTTTTTGGTATGCATAAAGAAAGCAAATTTCTAAATTGTTGGTACACAAGTGGTTACACAGTGTGATAAAACGGTATGTTATTTTGGCTTGATAGATATTAGTTCCTTTATAGTAACAATTTTCCTGGAAGGTCCTTGAGTAAAAGATTATAAAGGATTTTAAGAGTTTTTCCATGTGTATTTGTGTGTGTGTGTGTATGTAGATGTGTATGTACACCCATCTGCACTTGCATATGATTGTAGGAAAATTCTAAAACTGATGCGACTGTACTTGTTGATGATTTATTTCAGGTCTGCTGAATTCTCTAAGATTTTTAAAAAGCTGCTTTTTTTTTTTAATATTTGCCTGACCTGCAGGAAAGGAGCCCCCTAGGAAATCAATGTAAGATTCTAATAGACTTTTATGCATTTGTATATACAAGAACGGACAAAAACCATCCCAGAAAATGCCCACTCCTGCTAAATAACAGTTAATATCATTGCTTGAAATTTATTTTAATGTTTTTTATCTTTTATTAGTACTTCTTGTTGGTTGCTTTATTGGCATTAACTTAAGAAAACAACTTTATTTGTGAAAGTTTCTGTATCTTAGAAAGCACAGCAGAAACATAACTTATAATCAGCATCTGGAGAAACTGGTTTTAGCTGTTGTATATCTTGATTTCTGGAGGTTATGTCTTTTCCCATTTCGTCTCCTTCCCCCTGTACATACCTCATGAATTTACAAATATATCCTTGTTTTGCTGTTCATCAGATCAACATTTCCATTCTCTTCTTTTCTGAAACTTCAGTTCTGCTTACCGCCTTAGAAAGTTCTCTCTTTCAACACTTGTACTACAGGTCTCTCTGATCGCTTTTGCTTTCTCATTTACTGGCTTTCTTTAGTCCTTCGTTCACCCACATCATTCCAATGAAATTGTTAATCCTTAAGACTTTAGTGGCCTCTTCCTGGTCACAAAAAGTATTATGTAGTTTCCATTTCAGTTTGTGTCAGGATTATGTTTTTGAAGTGAATCTTTCCTTAAACCCTGCTCACTGCTTTTTGGTTCACTTCATGGAGCAGTCTGGGAGCAATCCCAACAGGTAATGGGTGTTCAGTCCACAGGACCAGCCTAGGACTAGCTGTTAAGGTAAAAAGCTGCTGAAAGTGTATAGTGTGGATGTCAGATCTTCAGTGCTGGCTCTCAGTCAACAGATGCATTTCTGCTGGTGCACGCCACTCCTAATGCAGATGGGGCCTCCGCTGCCTTGACGTCTGTTGCTTCCCTGGGGCTTTGCTGCTTCTTCCCTCACTCCTTCACTTACCTGCTTCCATATCTGGAATTTGGTTCACCCACAACCTGAACTCAGGCTCACCCATCTTCAGCCTCCATCCAGCCTTGCTTGCATCCAAGATTTCCAGCTGGGTGCTCTCTTACGGTCTTAAGCTATAAGAGAAACTGATCCTGTCTCCACTTTGACTGTCACAGCTTCTTGTGTTGTGTTACTGCCAGGATACTTTCGTTGTGAATAAGTATCTGTTTATGGTCTTTCCTGTTCCATGTAGAGACTGAACGCCATTCTTCCCTTTTGAAGCACTCCACACCGTTGCACCTGTCCAGATATCCTTGTCCTAATCTAATTTTTTTTGTAAGCTACTTTTCACTGACAACGCCATCTGACCATTTCATCAACTGCTGTCTCTGCAACTGCTCACATGTCATATCTTGTGTGCGTAGTAGTATCACAGCTGAAGTGTAGCAGGGTCTCTCATTGTTTCAGAAAATTCTGAGAAATCGAACTCAAAGAGCTTCCTTCTTCAGTGAATATACTGTATATTGCTTCAGTTGTACAGGAAGTACTGTGTATTTTTGCGTAGCAGCTTGTCCACATTGAAAAATGCCATCTTCTTGCAGTGCACTTTTTGTACATACTAAGTGGTGGTAGACATTGGATTTTTGTGTCAAAACCAGGTTGGCTTTTTAAACTGTCCTTGTATGTAGCAAGTGTTCATATAACTCTGTTAAGGAAAGTCCATACACATGTGCATGTATGTTACAATGATGTTTCTAGCAACTTCACTGGTAATGTAATTTCAGAAGTTGGACCTGTGCTTAAGAACTAACAAGTTTTGGTATACCATAACATTATTTAGACTTATTTTAATACAAAATTTAATGTTATGGAGAAAACGTGCCTCTTGCAGCTGTTACACTTGCAAACAAATGCTTCTGCATTGAAGCTTGTTTTCTTTAAGAAGCTGGTAAAAGGTCAGCTGAGATACAGGAGAAATCCTTGGTCTTTCTGAGCTACATGGGCTTACAGGATTAGCTAGTATTAGCTGTGTTTCTATTTGCCTGATGTACAAGTAGTACTGTCTGAATGTTACCCAGCCTTACAGCACTGAATCCCAAGTTTTTTCCAGGTGACTTGTTTCTGGCTACAAACTCTGTTTCTGCTGCTTAATTACCTTCTGTTTGCTAATGCCATTTCATGTCTCTGGTTCGTAAGTTTTTCTGGGGCAGGACTCTTTCTCTGATAAGCAAGCAGCGCTAGATTTATATGCTTGCTAGCAATATGTTCACTGTGCAGCAAGATGCAAAGTATGACTGTATCAAAGCACACAACTTGAAATTTCTTGGAACATAACTGTTGTGTCCAATCCAGGCAATGAATATGCCTGCAGAACAGAAAGTGAACTCTGGCATCTGAGGAGCAGCTATTCAATGATATTTTGGGGGCCTTTTAAGTCCCTTGTCTCTACTGGGTGGATGCTTGCAAATATAAATGCAAAAGTCACTTACCCGTTCCCACTGAAAGCACACACACACGAAACATGCAGTTTTCATTACTTAACTGAACTACTTAAACAAGACATGTTTTTTTCTTTGGTTTTGCTAATTGCACAGGAAGAATGCTCAGAAAATACTTAACACAGTAATCAAATCAGAGGGAAAATGAAAGGGGTCACTTGTTGCCACGTATGTTCTAGCTGTCTGTTTAGGATATGTTTCAAGCTGTGTTTGTTGTTTGTTTGGTTGGTTTTTTTAGCAACATCTGTTCCATTCTCACCTCAAAAGAATGTGTGTGCGCGCGCGCGCGTGTGTGTAGAGAGGATGTTGAAGGTATGTTAAGCCATTTGTTCAAGCTGGCTTTGCAGCAGCATCAAGGATATTTGAAAGGCAATGCCAACTTTTAAAAGAAAAAAATGTCAAAAGAACAGAAAGCAAAAATTCCACACTTAGATTTTTGGGGGACGTTTAATTAATACTCATTAGGATTCTTACTTTCAAAAAACCTCTAAGGAAAAAGATCTTTAATTTAAGAGATGTAAACAGTTTTACGGAACATTAGTAAAAAAAAAAAAAACTTCCTGTAGTGCGTTAAAGCTTAGTTAATGCTGTTTCAAAGAGAAAGTATTAATTTGAAATTACTGAGTATTGACCTGTTAATGACAGCTTGTTATTAACAATTGTTATCTCCTGGCCATGCTGGGGATGGTGTTTGATGGTATTGGAAGATACGATTTGCATAAAAGAGGAGTTTTATGGTATTGTTTAAGGAGACCTTAGTGTTAGAGGCTATCCAAGAGGGATCGGCCATGTCATGTTGGAAGACCATATGGAGATTTGTCATGAGTTGGTCCTTTGTGAATTCTTTTCTGAGTGTTTTTGACAGTAGAAGGTTTGATACGTAGTGCTTCAAGTATGTTACTTCATTCTGTTCTTAGGATTTTGCTTCTGAAGCTACAGATTTCTTTTGTTTTTTTCCTTTATGACATCTGGATTTAGTTACTGGATACTGCCTCACAAGGAAGGAATTTGGAATAATGCAAATGTACTGCTGTAGGAAAATCAAAACATATGCAACTTACTGTTTTAATCTCGTCTGCTGAGTGTACACGCTGTTTTGTAGACCAGATGATTCATAGCTTTCCTGATATCTCTGTGGGTTTTTGTGTTTTGATATACATCTTAAAAGCTTAATTAAAAAAAATAAATCTACAAATTGGTCCAGCAGAGTTGCAATAGAAACATAGAAGAATCCAGATGGACAGAAGCTTTCTCACTGTAGCCTATAGTTGAACAACTCCTGCAGAAATCTATACAATTTGTTGAAAAATATGTGGTCCTCTAGGTTGACCAGTATTTTACGTTATTTATGTTAGTTTTATTGTTGCATACTTGCATACATTTGTTCTTAATGCCACTCTTTCTCAGCACTTTTGAGCTCTGTGATAATTAATTATGCCTTCTGTAGTAAACAAGTGACTTGAAGTTCTTAATATCAATCTTAAAATAATAATTTTACTTTCTTTTCTGTCTTTTTCCACAAAAATAGATAATATACCTGAGAGAATCCCCAGAAGATGTGTACAGGCTTATACTGGCTGGTAGCATTTCGTATCTTCCTTTTAGGTAAATAACAAGTTGTTAGAACTTTATGTCCCTCAATATTTTGAAGAAGAATGTAGCATTTATCCGTACTAATTTGGGGGTTTCTTTTGCTGAAGTTTTAACACGTGACTCATTCACTGCCTGAGCTTTAAGTGCAGACTGCTGAACAGGGGTGTTAGCAGCTGGAACTGAAGTGTACTGACAAAAGGTGAAGGAGCCATGCTGCTTTTTATGCACTCTTGTTGAGCTTTTTGATCTACCTTGCTTCTCACTTGGCAGTCTAGTTTAGTGCCAGTAGTTGATAGTTAAATGTATCAAAATATCTGTCATTCATCACAAATGGCTTGTAATACTTTTAGCACTCCATTTTTCCCACTTGTCGAACGTATGCAGCAACCCACAAATACTGTTTTGTGCATAAAGAATGCTAGCTAATCTCATATGATTTATTGTAACTTTGAAATATTTCTTTTTACCGATGAGGAAATGTGTAAAACCATTGGTTCATGGTTGCTTGACCCTGAGGGAATGTAGTCCTAGCTATTTCAAACCACAGACTTCTCTTTCTGGTATATGCTGTGATGCTTAATGTAGCAAATAAAATTGATCCATCGTGCAGAGGAACAACTTCTTAATTTCTTCCAAACAAGAGTTTCTAAAAGTTGGACTAAACTAACATTCCATTGGCTGCCACAATATGCAGAAAAGAATGGCCAAAAAACTTTTTAGGAGGCCAGTTTACTGTCCAAATATATTGTTATGGGGTGATTAATTCAGTCCGTGCTTGTTTGTGTTTTCTAGATCTCTTGCCAAGAGATGGGCTTTTTGATAATTTGAATTTCTATTACTTCCCCCTTGCCACCACCACAGTATAATGTGTTACCACTAATGTGGTAGTATAATGGTGTAGTAGCACCTCTCTTTATTTGCATACTTCCACCATCCCATTTCTCACTTTTAAATTCCATTTTTATATTCCTAGAAGAACAAAAGTCGTTCTTAGAAAGATTGTAAGGTTTGTTTCTAAATATCATAAAGGTGTATATGGGTGATGGAGTTAGTAGTTTTTCACTCAGGTCATATACCCTGCATACCCTGCCCAAATTCCCAGACCATCACTTCAACAGCACTGCTGAAAGAAATGAAAAGTTGTGTTATATAATAAGACGTACTGAGAGCTGACTTCTGAAGACATGTCCAGCCTCTGGGATAAAGAATACAGTCTGCTAAAGTGTCTGCGAACTTTACCGTTTCCTTGAGTTTACTAGTGCAACTAAACCTGGTGCAATTAGAGGAATTCAGATTACACTAATGATCAACTGAGATGTTGGTCTGGGGTCTCTTCCTTTAGGATCTTCATCTCTGTAAAAACAGTACCTTCCTATAGAATAATACAAAGTCAGTCAGATAGTTGCTACTTAGGGTCATTATCAACATGAAAACTTTCATTAGCAGGTTACAAAGAATTTCTTTTTTCACTTATAGAATCACAGAATCACAGTGAGGTTGGAAGGGACCTCTGGAGGTCATCTGGTCCAACATCCCTGCTCAAGCAGGGCCACCTAGAGCCGTTTGCCCAGGATGATGTCCAGATGGCTTTTGAATGTCTCCAAGGATGGAGACTCCACAGCTTCTCAGGGCAATCTGTTCCAGTGTTCAGTCACAGAGAGTAAAAAAATGGTTCCTGATGTTCAGAGGGAATCTCCTGTGTTTCAGTTTGTGCCCATTGTCTCTGGTCCTGTCACTGAGCACCACTGAAAAGAGCCTGGCTCTGTCTTCTTTGCACCTTCCCTTCAGGTATTTACATACATTGATAAGGTCCCCCCTGAGCCTTCTCTTCTCCAGGCTGAACAGTCCCAGCTCTCTCAGCCTTTCCTTCTATATGAGGTGCTCCAATCCCCTTAATCATTTTTGTGGCACTTTTCTGGACTCTCCAATTATGTCCAAACTTCTCTTGCACTGAGGAGCCCAGAACTGGGCGCAGTACTCCAGGTGTAGCCTCACTGGTGCCAAGGAGAGGGGAAGGATCACCGCCCTCAACCTGCTGGCAATACTTTGTCTAATGCGGTCCAGGATACCATTAGCTTTCTTTGTCACAGGGCATGTTACTGACTCCTGTTCAACTTAATGTCCACCAGAACCCTCAGGTCCTTTTCTGCAAAGCTGTTTTCCAGCTGGGCAGCCCCCAGCCTTTACTGGTGCCTGGGGTTATTCCTCCTCAGGTGCAGGACTTTACACTTCTCCTTGTTGAACTTCATGAGGCTTCTGTCGGCCCATTTCTCCAGCCTATCAAGGTTCCTCTGCATGGCAGCATGACCCTCTGGCGTATCAGCCACTCCTCCTAGTTTTGTGTCATCAGCAAACTTGCTGGGGGAACTCTTTGCCCCTTCATTGAGATCATTAATGAAGATGTTGAACAGGATCAAACGCAGTATTGACCCGTGGAGTACACCCCTAGTTCCTGGCCTCCAGTTATGCTTTGTGTCACTGACCACCACCCTTTGGGCCCAGACATTCAGTCAGTTTTCAATCCACCTGTCTGCTTGACCAGCCAACACATCAGTAGCTTGTCTGTGACGATCTTATGGAGAAAATGTCTCAAAGGCCTTACTGAACTTCAGGTAGACAATATCCACTGCTCTCCCCTCATCTACCAGGCCAGTCATTTCATCGTAGAAGTTTATCAAATTGGTCAAGCATAACATTACCTTGGTGAATCCATGCTGACTACTCCTTATGATTTTCTTGTCCTTAATATGCCTGGAAATGGTTTTGAGGATTAGCTGCTCCATCACCTCTCTGGGGATTGAGATGTTGCTAACTGACCTGTAGTTCCGTGGGGATTTCTTCTTGCCCTTCTGGAAGTTGAGGGTGACATTTGCTTTCTTCAGTCTTCAGGCATTTCTCCCAGTTGCCATGATTGATCAGAGATTATTGAGAGTGGCCTTGCAATGACATCAGTCAGCTCCCTCAGCACTCATGGGTGCATTCCGTCATGGTCCATGGACCTAGGTATGTCCTGTTTGCAGAAATATTCCCTGACATGATCTTCTTCCACCAAGAGTACATCTTCCTTGCTCCAGCCTTTCCCCCTGGTTTCTGGGGCCTGGGATTCCTGAAGGCTGGTCTTGCTAGCAAAGACTGAGGCAAAGAAGGCATTCAGTACCTCAGCCTTTTCCATGTCCTGTGTAACCAGGTCCCCTGCCTCATTGAGCAGTGGGCCCACATCTTCCCTAGTCTTCTTTTGTCACCTGTGTACTTAAAGAAGCCATTCATGTTTTCTTTGACATCCCTGGCCCAATTCAATTCCATTTGGGCTTTAATTTTCCTAACTTCATCCCTGGATGCTTGGACAATGTCTCTATATTCCTCCCAGGTTATCTGTCCTTGCTCCACCTGCTGTGTGCTTCCTTTTTGTGTTTCAGTTTGGCCAGCAGTTCCTTGTTCATCCACGCAGGCCTCCTGGCATTTTTGCCTACTTCATATTCATTGGGATAAGCTGCTCTTAAGCTTGAAGGGGCTGATCCTCAAATATTAATGAGCTTTCTTGGGCCCCTCTTCCCTCCAGGGCCTTATCCCATGAGACTCTTCCAAGCAGATCTTTGAAGAAGCTAGTGTATGCTCTCCCGAAGTCCAGGGTTGTCAGCTTGCTTTTCAACCCTCCTTCCTGCCCTTAGGATCCTGAACTCCACCATCTCATAGTCACTGCATCCGAGGCTGCCTTTGACTTTCACATCCCCAACAAGCACCTCCTTGTGGGTGAGTATGAGGTCCAGCAGAGTGCTGTGCTTCATTGGCTTCCAAATCACTTGGTGGAGGAAGTTGTCACCAGTTCATTGCAGGAACCTCCTGGATTGCTTATGTCCTGTTGTGTTGTCCCTCCAGCAGATATTGGAGTGGTTGAAGATCCCCATGAGGACCAGGGCCTGCGAATTTGAGGCTGCTCCTATCTGTCTGTAGAGGGCCTGATCCACTTGTTCTTCCTGGTCAGGTGGCCTAACAGACACCCACTACAATGTCACCTTTACCTGTCCTCTCTTTTACCTGAATGGGGTTCTGTTATTTTCTCCTTCTGCTGATTTTTTTCTCCACCTTTCACACTGATTCATTAGGGAGGAAAAGGATACAAACAAATTGTAGAGGCAGCCATCCAGGTTCTTCAGAAGTTCTTCCTCCTCTCAGTTGAAATTTGAACATGATATATTTTGTACTTTCTTGAAACATTAATGATTCTTTGCTGATGAGGGCTGCATGATCTCAGAAGGTGTTCTGCCAAGACATAATATTCTTTGATGTAGATGCAGTTTAAACTTGTTTTTTGACTTGACTATAGTATTCCTTTAGAATGCTTACTCTGCAGGGCTTATGGAATCTAATAATGGTCACATACAAAGAACATGCAATTCCTGGATCAACAGAATTTTAAAAATTGTAGCTGAAAGAAGGGGTTTTAATGAAAACCAGTTTCTCCTCATGTTTAAGCATAAATTGGTTTATGCATCTTAAGAAAAGTCTTTTAATATATCTACACAAATGTGTATCTTGACAGTTTTAGTAGGAAGATGCTGTTCATATATACATAGAGTGCATCTGCGCAGCATCTTTTTTTGTTTTAAATTGAGTTTGAAGAAAAAATTTGCAGTGTATGAAAATTTGACTTTTTCAAAAGTGTACTTCAGAAGAAAATCTTCTAAGAGTGTATGTTAGAATATGATACTAATAACATTAGCTTTTGCCACAAGGAGTTCGTGTTGTCTGTTCTTTGTTCACATGAACACTGAAACATGCTAGTTTCTGTCTTCATGTCAGAAATTGGACATGTGAGCTTCACCAAAACTACAACTGGAGTAATCTTACTCTTGGATCATCTGTTAACATAACTTATTTTATGTTATGATTGTAAGATGCAAGGTGAAGTAATCATTTGATATAATTATTTCACTGAAGTAGTAATTAACTTGAAGCAATTTTTTAAACTTGTTTTAGAGAAATATCTTCAATTGGTTTTACTTGGATTAAAACGGGATAATTTTACCATTTTGGTCATCATATCTTATAGGGATGCTTCCTTTGGTACTTGCAGTTTTCATCTGACATTGTTGGACTGTTTTCATGCAATAAACAAGGTCAGTAAAACAATATTTTTCATATTGCAAAAGGTCAGCTAAATATTGCCCAGCAGAAAAAGAAGACTTAGGGAGCTGGGATCCAATTAGAGCTGTGCAGTAGCAGGTTTTCTAATTGTTGCCTAGCTTATTATGTATTATGCATTGTAACAAAACTTCTAGATACAGCATCCACAGAAGTTGACTGATACTTTATGTAATCAACTAATGAAGGTTTTAAAGAGGGAATTTTGAGTTTTATTTATGTAATCTTTCAGGACAGTCATTCACACCTCTAATCCCTAAGAGTTGTGTGATAGATTTGTTATATGAGCCCCTGGTGTTACATTTTAGTCTGAATATAGCCTTTGAAAGTGGTTTTGAATTGCTTAGTGATACTTCTTAGGCATTTGCAGCATGTGCTAATGACTTCAAGTTTTGCTTTAGTAATACAAATAGGACAAATGTTAGGTGGCAGGTGCTTTTTTTTTTTAACTACGAATTACCATAATCCAGTGTTTTATAGCAATACAGTGGTGAAGTAACATGGCATTGAAGGACAGGGGAATTTATATGCATTGTTTTTAGTCTGTGAGTAGTGAAATGGGGAATTCTGCAGCTCTCCACCTACTACTGTCTTTTGTATTACGGATATCTCTGCCAAATACTGGTGTTTTTACTGATTAAGACAGCTTATTGTAGATGTGTGATTTGCAGCTTTTTTGGATGTTTTGACATTGGCTGCTTGAATGCCAAGAGTGGTGAATTGCTGTTCTTCTTAGTACTGGTGAAGAGCAAGGAAAACTACAGAAGATCATGCAGTGAAAGAGGAAATTAGAATGTAGGATTTTAAATATCTGGAGATACAGGATTATCTGTGTTTGTGCTTCCTGACTTAAGAAGTGGGTAAACTACCAGTTACTCAAATGTTTACATGTTTTATACAGTATTAAGTATAATGGTTGTGGTTAATTACGGGACATCAAGGACGACACCAGTGTCTGCTTAGGACTGTGTGTCTGCAAACAATTCAAAATCAATGAAGATATTAGCATCATAATGAGAGCAATTAGCATTCATGCACAAAAATATTTGCAGTCCTTGAATGCAGACTTTAGAACGTACTCATAATTTCAATATATAATTTTAGCCAGTTATTTTTCTCTTTTTTGGTTTCGTACTCCTAGCAGTAATAAAAAGACTGAATGCTTCTGTAGTCTGGAATTTTGTAGTGATTTGATGACAACAGAAGAGAGTGGAAGTGCTTGTCTAACTTCACTTGTATTAAAATTTACAAATCTGTTTTGAACCAAGACTGAGTTGATCTGTATTTTTTCAAATATATGAAGAAATCTCTCTGAAAGAGTAGAACAGGTATTAGGGGCTTTCAGTAACCTAAAAGAGTGATCAACTGTCCTCATTGAAAAGATGTTGTCTTTGTTAAAAGCTGTATTCTGAATTTTAGGCTTTGCAATATGGTTTCCTGGATTTCAATACGTTTGATGTAAATGAATATGAGCATTATGAAGTAAGTGTTCAGTATCAATCTTCTGATTTGTTTGCTGTTACTAATGCTGATTGTTTATAATACGTGCTATTTTGTTTTTTTTGTAGTATTAGGTTCCATTTCTGTTTTGTCTCTTTAAACTTTGATTGTTAAATAAAGGTGTATGGTCAGAGAGGGAATATTAAAATTTAGATTTAAGCATAGTCAGCCTCAAACATGGGGGGAAAAGCAGAAACGAAAATGGAAATAAATACTTTTTTCCATTATTATCAAAGCCCTGGAAGATGATCGGGGAGTGGGAATTTGGCCGCCTTTTAGAGGTCATGCATATTCTTGAGCAGTCTTGATGAGAAACTCGAGGGCATACAAGTCCAAGTCTGGAGAGCAATCACAGTATGTTTCTGTGAACACATGGCAAAGGTATAATAACACTCTTTGAGGTAAAGAAGGAAGCAGGGCTGGGAAACCCAAAGCCTATAAAATTCACTTTGGGGCATAGGAAACGAATGTGACAATGAAGGACTGCAAGTCTTGACTATACACAGTTTCAGAAATGCAAAGCTGCCAGTTATCTGTAAAGAGAAAATTAAGTGTTCTTAGAATCTAAAAAATCACAATTAAAATTGTGAACAGCTGTAAGGCCAAGGTCATAATTTAGAAACCTATAAAAAAATAAAAAATTGGAAGTTGCCCTTCATCTGAAGGGCATCAGTTGTGTTGTTCTAAAACTCTGATTTAGAAAGAGGAGAACACAGGCAAGAAAAGTGAGGTTGAAAGCATCTGTCATCCTCCCGATGGAACAGAAAGCAGGCAACTAACATAACTTCCTTTGGCAAAAATTGTGCATCACTTCTATCTAGCATGTATTTTGAAACAATAAGGAAAAGCCTGAAAATACAGGGATAATGATAAACCAAGCATTTTCTCTTGACAGAGAGCAGAAAATGGAGATTTTAACTGGATAATACCAAACAAATTCATTGCCTTCAGTGGACCTCATTCAAGAAGTAAAATTGAAAATGGTATGCTTAAAAAAGGAGGTGGGGGACACAAGCCCACTGCTTTCTTAGTTGATTGTTATCAGTAAGAACAAGCTTTAAAAATTGTTCCTCAAACAGTGTGTTTTTTCCTTGGCTCTTTTTCTTTTATAAGAACCCTGGCAGTAAAATTTTAATGCTTGGTTTAATTGTATCTGACCTAGGTGATTATGTTAAAATTCCATTTTCGATTAGTCTATTTCTTTATGTTGAATGTGAGTTCTGTTTTGAAAGTGTCTTCATCTCTTGTTTTTGAGTCTTTGTTTATTTCTGCAGTTTGAGCCTTATTCTCTTCTTTTTTTTTTCCTTCTTTTTTCAAATAGGCTATCCTCACCATGCTCCAGAGGCTTATTTTCCATACTTCAGGAAACATAAGGTCACCACTATAATACGCCTCAACAAAAAAGTGTATGATGCCAAACGATTTACAGATGCTGGATTTGAGCATTTTGACCTCTTCTTTGCTGATGGAAGCACACCTAGTGATACTATAGTTAAAACATTTCTGAATATTTGTGAAAATGCTGAAGGTGTTATAGCCGTTCATTGCAAAGGTATAGTGTAAAAACAATTCATATTACAAGTGATGCTTACAGTTACAGTTCCTGAGGTATTTTGCACTATAATTCTGTTATATCTGGTTATTAACATCTCTGCCAAACTGCAACTTTTCCATAAAAATTCTTTGTATGCTTCTGTTCTGCACTTCATCATCTAATTTTTTTAAGTTCCAGAAAAATCTTGCCAGCCATTTCCAAGAATGAGGTTGGGGAAAGTGAGCTTGCCAATATTAACAGCTCTTTCTGCTAGAAAGTGTTGTCACTTTCCAAGGATGCTTTCGAGCAGGAATTTGAAGTCCTGGCAAGGTTTATAGGTCTTTCTGAAAATACATAGTTAAATATGCCAAATTATAGACTTTTGAAAAAATCAATGCAGCTTTTTGAGGAGATTCCCCCAAAGGTATGAGTGTTCTTTCAGAACCACAGAAATCTTTATCCCTCAGAAACCCTTTTTACTAGCTACATTGGGCATGCTCTGAATATCTGTTCCTCCAGAGTTAGACTGCCAAGGAAAAGATACTTAGAGCACGCCCAGTGCAGCCAGTATAGTTTTCTGTGGTTCTAGAGGAACTATGTTTCCCTTCCCCCACCATCTTTAATAGTCTATCAGACACTTGTTCTGCACAAACTCTGCCTGATGAGCGCACCTGATAATGCTGTGATTGAAGGAGAAAGGCCGTTTCTTAACCCATGTGCCTGGGACCTGCAAAGACTGCATTTTTGTTCCTGGATCTGCCATCTGTTTGCTGCATGTTTAACAGGATTAATCTGTGGAGTGGAAGAACTGGTAAAAAACTTCATCTTGACTGTTGGGAAGCAAGTGCATACTCTTACTGTCTACTGAGGTGATAAATTCGGGCATATGACTTAATTGATTATGCCTGAATATTGAATATCAGTGCTTTGTTTTCATTCAAATTAAGATGGTCTTTGATATTTTTCATAGTAATGGTGTCCAGACTACCTTATGTTCCTCAAGCTGCTCTTACTATTGAGAAAAAGTAGAATGCTGTAGCCTGTTCTTAAAGCTGGGCAAGACATGGAAAGTGCTGTGTGGTTGTCTTGGCTGTTGGGCTGTGCTGAAGATTTTACACTGGTGTTGATCAGTCGCTTATTAAATGAGAGAAGGTGATGTGTGGTTTGACATTTACAGCAAGTGATCGAGGAGAGGAACCACTTAGCTGGACCTGTCCTCCTTTCCTTCTCATGTTTCCCAAGGTAAATAGAACCGTTTTGAGGGCCATTGCAGAGAAGGTTCCTCATTCTGGACTACTTTCTGCTTGTGTCGGCTAGTACCGAGACTTGCTTATTGCAAAATTTGTCTTTTCCTTGGGAACTAAAGTAAGAGATTAGTTAGAGGAGGGACTGGAAGAGCAACTAGTTTCAGTGTAATGTATGATCACTTTGCAAGAAGGTTCTTTGAGAATTTTGGGAAAAAGCCAGCTGTTCTATCGCATGCATAAAAACATTCTCATACCTATATACATATTCATAGATAGATAGTAAATATAGATAGACTTACAGGTATTTGTAAAGTTGCTGTCTTTGGAAGGTTACCTCACTAAAAACATGTGAACAATGTGTTAATAACGTTGTATATGGAAAAAAAAAAATTCAAAAGGTGAGTTGCACTTAACCAATTTTGATCAGTAACAGGTTTGTTTAATAAACTAGGCAAGTAACTATTTGTCCAAGTAACAACGTCTGTAGGTACAGCAGATTCCAGATGAAGTTGGGTATATGAAAGAAGCCATTCTTTTATCTTACACAGCTGGTCTTGGACGAACTGGCACACTTATTGCCTGTTACATTATGAAGCATTATCGGATGACAGCTGCTGAAACTATTGCCTGGATTAGAATAAATAGACCTGGTTCAGTGATTGGACCACAACAACACTTCCTGATGGAGTAAGTAGATTGACTAGAAATGACTTAAAAAATAGATCTAGATGTCTTTTTCTTCTTCTTTTATTGTACACTTAATAACCTTTGGTGTTAATTTGTTGTGTTTTGGGCTTTTTTTTCCATGTTATTTTAGCAAACAGGCAGAACTTTGGACAGAAGGAGATATTTTCCATGCAAAGCTGAGAGGAAACCGTAAAATTGCTGTAACAAGAATTCTGTCAGGAGTAGACGATATTTCAATTAATGACACAAAAAACAGGAGAGCTATCCGAAAGGACATTGAGCTGGTAACCATCTGAATATTGTGCTCTTGTAAAAGTTGTAACTGCTGTTGAGAATCTCTCAGGTTCTGAACAAACCTGTGGGTACAGTAAAACTATGTTAATGGGATTCTTTTTCCGTTTGCCCTTTTTGTATTGAGGTATATGGGGGAGGGGGGAAGTTATGGACAGCAAGTATGAAAAATGAAGTGCAGTACACAGGTGAAGTAGGAGCATCCTTATCATATTTTAGTAATTAGTTAAATATTAGAACAAAAAAAGTACTCACGATTTGCAGTCAAAAACACTGTGATTTTGTTTTGGATTGTCTGTTACTTCATTGTGCGTGTTTAAAGGGAAGGGATGAAAGGGTTTTTGCTCTTTTTAGTTTCTAAGTAATTGCAACTTCTATAATACCTTTTGATGCTGCCTTTTAAAAAAATGGTGCTGCTGTTTTAAAAAGGCAAGTGAAATAGGGAAATGCTGTACTTGACTGAAGATTGTACTGTACCTAAGCAAAGATTTGATAATATGTTTCCACTGTTTTAAAGGTAGACAACATTCTGATGCATGTAGTTCATGACACCACTTAATGGTTTACAGGTTTAAAAGCAGTAAACAGGAAGCTGGAAAGAACAGAATTGTATTTATGCAAGTGAATTTCCTTTGATTTTATGCTGGCAAGCTTTCCTGTTGGGATAATTCTAACTTTAAGATTTAAGATAAGATTAATTCTTAAATGTCTTAAGTGTCTATATTTTAATCTTGATTTATCCCTTTCCTGTCTCCACTTATCCAGTACAGTGATGAAGATGAAACGAACTGTGTAACACAAGGTGATAAGCTTCGTGCTCTGAAAAGTAGAAGGCAGACAAAAGCTCCAACTGCATCTCCGCTAACGTAAGTCAGTTTCTTAATGTATAAATGCCAGAAATACTTTTATCCTCTTCTTTATGCATACTTCCCTTTACCCCAAAAAGTTTATTGCCAAGGCTGCTTTTATTCATTTAAAACAAACATGAGATTCACTGTTTCTCAGAAGGCTTGGTGAGAGCTAAGGAGGCAGGAGAACTTGGTTAAAGAACTGTGTTACTCAGTTTCTAGTTTTCTGTATTGTTTTTCATTCCAGTAGTCTGGACTTTACAAGCTCCCATAGTACTTCTGAATGCTTTACTTTTAATTTAATCACAAACATTCCCTTGTCTTTCCTGTGGTAGTATAAAAATGGAAGAATATGACTCCATGTGGTGGTGTTTGATTGGCTGAAATAAGGTACGCACTGTTTTTTGAAGTAAAGTCAGCTATGGAAGACGAAGAGTTGAAAGAAGAATATTTAGCTTCCGGATAATGGCTGGTAGGTCTGGAAGGCAGGGAGTAGCATTATTTCAGTAAATAAATTGAAAAGGAGTGCATTTCTGTCAGGGAACCTGGTATGCTAGTCTCTTTACTTTAGACAGGTACTGAAGCACTACCTGTAAAAGAAAGTTCGTAGTTGCCTTTGCATCTGTTGTAGTTTGTAGCAACTGTAGGTACAAAAAACTTTCTGTCTGCCCTTAAATAAACTACAAGAGAATGCAAGACTTGCAAGATGTATCTGGATCTCATTTGATTGGTAGGAAAGGAATGGTGACACCTGGCTGTCAGATTTTTGCAAGTAACACAGCACCAGAGTCACAGACCAAAGGCAACTTGGCTTTTGTTGTGCTGTCTTTCTGTAGGGGATGCTGCTGCTAGCTGCTGGCTTTTTTTTTCTTTTTTTTTTAAGACGAAGCAGTGTCATCAGACTTTTAGAAAAAGTGAGAGGTATGCAGTAAGAATGTGCGGAAAGTATAGGAATATGTCTTTGGAAACCCTCACACATTGCTATGTATGAATTCTGCTTTTGCTTTAAAAGATTCTCTTTTGTTCACGCTCATCATTTACACAGGCAGTCATATAAGAAACAACAGATACAGAACAAAGCCTGTACCCAACTGACATTAAAAGAACACCAAAACACATCACCTCAGTTACCTCAAGTAGCACAGTAAAAAACAGCTACTTTGCACATTAGTTTCTAAGGCACATAGTGCCTTAGTTTCCACTTCACAATATTTTTTCGTAAAAGGTACTTTAAGTCATGCAACAAAAGTTGTGAAAGATGTCATTTATTGTGTGTTCCATAGAATAAATGTAGACTGTATGATAATCTGTTCAAAGCCATTGTCTTAATATGCAGAAAGCCTATCAACTATTCAAATACTGTTCCATTCATGAAGCATTCTGGAACATGACTGGTCTAATTAAAACTAGTTAGCTTGTACTTCTGTAGAAATAAAATAATTGATCTAGACCTTATAGTTGTTTTTTACAGCATGCATTGTGGCACAGGGAGTTGGAATTTCCCTCCTCCTGTTCCCCGAAGTTATTTATATGGTTTGCAGCTTGTACTGAAATAATTTGGTCAAAAATTAATCCAGAGCTTCTTATATTCTTTGTCTTGTTATTATTAAACCAAAATATCACTAGGAAAACTTAGCTGCCTTACCTGAGTTAGAAGTCTTCCCTGTTAGAAAAGGTTTCAATCGTTTCCCCTTTTAGTTGACTGTTAATTAATCTTGCAGTGAAATTGATTAATTTTATCTAGGCAAACACAAAGAAGCTTCTAAATCTTCTATGTAGTTTTATTTCACAGAAAAGGAAAAAAAAAGGCAAAATAAGAGCACCAGAAGCTGCGACAATTACAGTCTTTGAGAACTAGAGGCATTGCTTACATTTAAGTTGCAAGGGATTTGTGTATAACATTTGTTAATGTTTATTGAAGTTAGTTGTATAAACTTTATATGCTTTGATGAATGGATACTTTGTATATGTTCTAATTAGCAATGTTCTGCACCTTTGGTAAAGGATTATGAATTGGCTTTTGCTACTTGGAACACAGGAAGGTAGTATACCCTATCATCTGGGTGTTCACATAAATTGTTCCTACAAACTGGTCTCGCTCTGATCTAATGTTTTAGTATTAAAGCATATGATTGTGAAGTAGGATGAATGAATACAGGCTGATCAAACTGCGTAAGAGATGGCAGCAAGTGGCCAGAGATGTACTGCTCCAGCATGCACTTATTTTCAAAAGAGTGATACAGATTTTCTTTGGAATAGACGACTTTAGTGAGGATTTCAGAAAATTTGCTTTGATTCCAGCAACATGTGGATACTACATTTGGCAATTTATGGTTGCATGGATTGTTTCAGTCATAGAAAGTAAGAAAATGCTTGGCAAAAGTTATAGAGCAATATGCTTTTGAGGAACTTAAAAAAAGCTAAAATGCACCAATAGCTTTTGCTTCTGAATTTTTGTTCATCTTTTCCTCCCCCTCCAACCCCTTTTTTAGATGGCTCCTAGCTATGCTGGTGTCTACATTGTGTAGCATTGTCATCTGGTGGATTGTATGTGGCTCCCTTCTGCCCAGCCTGCTATTCTGTCTAGATGGTTTAAGAACATAGTAACCATCAGGACCCCCTGAGAGAGAGCCACTGTGTAAGTGTCCCATTCCATTTCTCTACAATAGCTCACGCTTTCTGTCTAGTATGTCTCATAAATGCATGTTTTCATATCATGTTTCTTACTGGCTTTGTTGCAAGAGTAAATTTCACTGCTCTGGCTTTGTTGTATTTTTGTCTATATTATTTGGAATAACTGAGTGATTTTTATGGCTGGCTTGCAATACAAAAAGGTGCAGAGCTTTTATAATTAGGATAATTTATAATTTTGAAGCCTTTCTTCTCTGCATGCTCCTGCAAATAAGCAAAACTATAGAAGCAAAACTATATTTGTAAAAAGGAAAAAGTACTGCTTTAAAATATGATCCTATCCTTTGCATATTGCAAATGAAGATGTTAGCTCCAGTTTTACTTTGAAATTCATGAACTTGCAAAGGAGCTTAGTTTCCCAAAGGATGGTTTTACTCATGTGAAATGCCAGGAATTAGAATTTGTTAGAAATCTCAGTAGGTCTTTGTTTTTTACTAAGAGATTATAGTATTCTATGCCATAAGAGGCAGTAAAATGGAACGTCTTTTTTCCTTTTTAACATAACGGAAGATGAGGCAGGTTGCAGTATTAGATCAAGGCTCACTTGTTTACCCAGCCAATCTGGTTTCATCTTCTTTTGTTCTCAAGTATTTTTTATAGAGCTTTATGAGACTAGTTAAATCCCTTCTTTCTGTTACTTGGATTCAGGAGCTGAGTAAAGCATTAAAAACATATTAGTTTCTTGAGTACAGTTTTCACTCTTTCTCCACTCTGCTTTTGTCAGAGTGGCTGCAGTGATTGCTGGGCCTCGCTTCCACTTAAAATGTGCAATGTTTTCATCAAATCACAACTTCCATCTTTTGGCCAAACAAAACTTAAGCAGCATGCAGAACTGCCAGGAAATCCAGACAGGAACTTTTTGCTTGCTACGGTGTCTCCCTGGAGCTGCTCCACCACCACCACCCTCAAAGCAAAATGGTTCCTTTGAGTGAATGCTTGAAACTTTGGTACTCTCAGAGAAAAAATAGGTCAGAAAAAGTGTTTTATACCAGAGTACTAAGTAAGAAAAGGCATTCTCTCCTGGTAGAACATTAAGGTAAATAGTACTCTTTCCTTCTTACCTTTGGCCTTGCAACTTTTTGTCCGCACTTCTAAAAAGCACAGGACTCTTTCTGCTGAAGGGAATGACCTAATAAGTAAAGAATGAGAACTAGGGGACTTGTGGACAACTTAGTTATCCTATTAGCCTTAGCTGAGGTCATCTAAATCTGTTCTTTTGGAGAGAAAAAAATAAAAACAAACTAAAGCTCACTTTAGCTGGTTTTTTTTTTCCCTTTGGTACCTAACTTTGTCAAAGGACATACTTAAATGAGAGGCTTCTTTTCAAAGTTTTGCACTCAATGTAGCAGTATTTCTTGTCTCAGAGTTCTCCAGAAGTCAGACCTCAGATTTCTAAACACAGACTAAAAAGCTAAACTTAAAACACTGGTTAAAAAAATGAAACAATCTGTCCTTTGTTTTCCTGTACTGTAAGATCAGTTTCACTCAACTGTCATCCCTTCTTTCTCTTACGGTTTCTGTGTTCTGTCTAA